GGGTTGTATAGAGTATAGTGATGTATTTAGAGTCTTCGTATTTAGAATTTATTTATGATGTACGTTTTTTTTTTTTTTTGATGAATAAAAGAGAAAAGTCTGCTTTTGAAAAAAGAAGATATAAAAATGAAATTGATAATTATTTCTGCCAACAATGGTCCCTTTTTCTTTAATATTTTTTCTCGTATGTTCAAATTTTTTATACGTGCAATAATGTTTAGAAAATTTAGTGAAATAAGTGACAAAGTGAGATATATACGAAATTAGAGGTTCCTTTTTTTGTCCATTAATAATTAAGGGCATCATATATATCATATAATTGAGAATTTAGTTCAATTTAGCACATGTATGGAACATTTAACTTTATCCCTATTTTTTTCTAAAAAAAGAAAAAAAGAAAAAACCACATTGATGTGTTGAGGGATTAGACATAGACTCTGACCTGTTTATTAAGACATTTTTATAGAGTACATCATAAAGATGAATACACTTCTTAGTTTTGACTAATTGAAAATCTGATAAACTTTAAATAGTCTCAACATGTTCCACAGTTATAGAAATTTTAAGTTTACACTTTCTTCTATTGTTACAGAACACATTTAAGCTAGAAATTTTGGCTAATTTTCATGTCAGGGTTATGATTACTCTTCGGGAATTTGGCAATTCGAAGGGTACGGATTTGTTCCAAATGGAACTTCTGGTGTGTGCATAATGCAAGTGTTTAAAGAATGCTGTAATTATGTCGTTTTTTCCCCCGTATCCCCTGATTTGATGAACAACAACAACGTTGTTTACCAATTCGTCCTGTTTGTCTCGATCCATCTAAGTTTCTTAATAAAACCAACTGCTAATATACTTCCTTTTTTGTTCAGTTGACCAATTGGGGTGTCTTGAATGGGTTGCTTTCAACTTTCAAGACACGCAGTTTCTTGATTGTGCGTGGATTGAGGGGTATGCACCACCCTAATAGTTGTTGCCGTATTATTTGTAGCGTGCTACTCTTTTTTCTACTTCTTGAGTGCGCTATCCCCCAGACAAATTGGAATGGAAGTTGCATGCATTATTTGAGTCTTAAAGTCAAGCATTTTTCATTCTGTAAATTCTTTTGTAAAGGCAAGAATATCTTCTAACAAGACAACTTTCTCTTTTTCCAATAAATACTTCAATTTCAAGACAGAAAAGAAACCCCTTAACATTTAGTTTGCAGTATTCTATGGTGAATATGCTCGGCAGTTATCTTCACTGTCAGATGCAGAGTTCAAATCTTGTGCCTAACAATTGAGGGTAGGAAGGACGTAGAGCTGTTAATTTTAATTTTATTTTTTTTTTGTGATTTGGATTTTGAGGTCCAAAAAAAAATTACCCTAGTTGAGTAACATACTTTAATTTGAATTCCTTAACAAACAATCTCGTTTTATATGCCACAATTGTCTAATTTGCTCAATATCTTTTTTAGTATAATTTTAACTACTATATTTTCCTGATTCTCTGGTTAATAGGGGATCATTGTCTCGCATGTCTTCACTGTATACACGAGCAGATCTTCACTATTTGGTTCCGCTCTTATTATAAAACACTTTCAAAATGTTACTCCTACTCCGTTTTTTTTTTAGAGTAAATCTTATATATATATATATATATATTGACGATGTATACACTATCACGGTTAGATATACGATACATATGCAAAATTTGAATTTCAAATTTAAATTTGAATTATGTGTCATGCATCTAAAAGTGAATGTGTATACGCTGTCAATATAAAAAAAATTAATCCTTTTTTTAATATACTTTTATGCAAAAAAAGTTTTATAGTCAATGATGGAGTCAGAACCTTTGGTCAGTGAAGACAATGTTGTACATTAAAAATGATAAAATTACTGTGCAATGAGATATTTTGATTTGAAATTATGTATTTATTTTTAAGTCATTTTTACATTTTTATAAATTTGTTACTTATTCAAGTAGTATTAATTTTTTTTCTTTAATTAGCTTTGAAACAATTGTACCGAAAGGAGAGATATCTAAAGTTATTGGTTATTTGGGGAATAGGATTTTTCAAAATATAGGTGGGGAATTTCAAGGGATCAGAAGGATATTTCTTAGAATTGAGGGGAGCAATCGTGACAAAAATCTAAAAACTCTGTAAATTTTTTATGATTATTCTATAAACTCTGCAAAATTGTTAATGTAGCTCTGCCCCTCAATATAGCAATTTCTTTTTTTTTTTTTAAAAAAAAAGACACCAACACAAGAATCTAACTAGAGCCTTAGTATCTTATTTGATAGAAAGCAGTAACACTAAAACCTTAATATAATGTACACCTCAAAGGAAACATTGTAAGTTTGATTCTGTTCTCCAACAATTTGGTTTCTCTCCAAATACTTTGTAAATCCTCTGACTGAAATTTTGTCACATACCACAACTGAAACATCAACTGAACGTAAAGAATTCTTCAGTAAAAAGAAAGGTTAATTGCCTCTGGATTTCACCCCATGAGAATATCTAATAGACCAATGAATGCAATGGCATCTTTTAATTAATCTGCATCTTCAATTGTAGGCTGCCTATAAATCTCAGGCCCTGATTAGCTTTTCTCTTCCATCGACATTTCATCTAAAACAAACTCAATGGCCTCTTCTCCTCAGCTTTTAACCACTTTCTTGCTCACCCTTTTCATCAATGTAACAATATATCACAAAACAGAAGCTTTGAAGGTTGTTGATCCAACTGATGGCTTCGTTTCTCTTCCACTAAATCAATCAAACTTTGAAATTCAAAGACCTTATAACGTGCCAGTAGATCAGCGATATTCGTACGTTGATGGAGTTCATAAAATGTGGGTTTTCGATACCGATAAACCTCATTTTCCTGCGAGCAATACCAGACCTCGTACTGAACTTCGTATAGAGGTAAGTTTACATATTGCAGCTAAATTTATGATTGCCATATTGGTCAAGTTTTATATGGAACAAAAAAAAAAGTAGCAAGGCTGCATATGTTTTGTAAAAGCAATTACGTATGGTGCTTATATGAAAATTTAAGGGTAAATTCTGAATTTGGACCTTCTCTAACACGAAAAAGTTTTGCACCTTTTGAATTTTGAAGCACACAGCGTGATCATTTCACTAGCTAATAGGCTTCGAGGCACAAGGTTTGAAATCATTCATCAAGTTAATTAATTACAAAGAGATCACTGCAAAGTAGTGAAGGGTTTTCAGCTTGTTCTCGATTGCAGTAGATTTTGTTGAAATAGAGAATAATTAAAATTAATCAAAACTAGTCTTTGGTATTAAATTCTTTGCTATTAGAAAAATATAAAACCTAGACGCAAAAGTACTAGACGAGAACATCAACCCAAAAAACAAAAATTGATCATTAAAAATCAAAATATATAATCAGATGAAATAATCAAACAATAAACAGCTCCTCGTCAAGAGACTTACACAACTTATCAATTATTGAAAAGAAAAAAAAATTGAAGACAAGAAGCGGAATCTAAAGCAAAAATCCGAATCTAAAGGAAAGAAGGGAGGAAAACATCCTAAGACCGATGAGCTTTCGAAGACAAGACAATCACTTTTTGTTTTATTAAATACACAATCTTCTGCTGTGTTTTTCCAAACCATGTATATATTTGGTATAACCTGAGCCTCCTAAAGCCCAAATAACAGCTTAAAGAAATAAAAGTAGCATGTATCTCTAACATCTTGTTTTTCGCCCTTTCTTTTTTGTGGGCCTTCTACAGATTAAAAGAAACATGGTGATTATCTTTTTCTCACTAATTTGCTCTCAGGGTTACGATTATTCTTCGGGGGTTTGGCAATTTGAAGGTTATGGATATGTGCCATCTGGAACATCTGGTGTGTGCATCATGCAAGTCTTTGGAGCACAGCTTCATGCTACGACTCTAATGCTTAGAGTTTACAATGGAAACCTCTCATACTATAAAAATCCTGTCATAGTCCCTAACATCGACAACAGGTGGTTCAGACTCAATGTAATTCATGATGTGGAAGCTAGCAAAGTCACAGTTTTCATTGATGGAGTGCAAATGTTTGAAACTGATGGGAGAGGTGGAAGTGACCATTTCTTCAAGTGTGGAGTTTATACACAAGATGATGCTTCTCATCGCATGGAGTCACGTTGGAAAGGAATCAAAATTCTTAAAAAAGATTAATTTATTAACGACAAGAAATGTGCTATTGATGCTTTTTTGGTTGTAATCCAAATCAATATGTCTATCTTTTGATGTTTTCCTTAACTATATATGTATATATAATTGCTATAGTCCGTGAACATTTTCTGTTAGACAATGTATGATTTTCATTCTCCTCTTTTTGTTTTTCCTTTTTGGAGGGTTAAAATAGAGAGGAGAGTAAGCTATCATCTATATAGTATCAAATAAGTTCGTGTAATTTCTAATCAATACATGGTTTGTGTTTGTAGCACATTTAACGAAAAATTATGTCAATCCGGATCAATTACTTACCAAGTTTAATAGTGATCATTGATCAACGAAAATGCTCTGAATAAGATTGTGAAGTATATTATCAACATAAGATTGTTGGAAAATTATTTGTTCAATTAGTGTTATCAAGTCAAAGACTAAGTAGGGGGAGGGATGAGTTGGGTGATACGAGAAACGGGAGTGTAAGCAAGAAGTTTCGGATTCGAATCCTTCCACTTACATTAGAAAAAAAAAGTCAGAGACTAAGTAGGAGGAGGATTGGGTTGGTTGTAACTTAAGAGAAGTTACAAGTAAGAGATGTTGAGTTTCAATTCTCTTAAAAAAAACAGAAGAGTCAAAGACTAAGTACTTGGTCACTAACTCAAATAAAATTTTTCTTACATTTAACATTTCTAAAGTCCATAAAATAGTTAGGTGAACTAAGTTCATGACTCCACTTATAGACCTATAAATAAGTTTGTCCATAATTGCTACATTTAGGCATCTTTCAAAATCCACCAACCCTTAGTTAACATTTGATAGTTTCATGCTACCATACTTGGTCATGTGTCATCAGTGGCACGAGAACGTATTTTACAGCTTGACCTTGGATCTCAAGGTGATTTGATTGAGAATGTCTTGCATATTTTGGTTAGAGGAACCGGCTAGTGCCACGGCTTCCTCAGCCTTCTTCTTCCACTTCAACGCACTCTCTTTAATCTCTGCTGCCTTCGGACCGACCAAACATTTTTCCACGTCTTCCTTTGGAATAATTTTGTCCTCCGCCACTCCTCTACACATCCTTATCCCAACTCTAAATTCATCCACCAAGTACTTGGCATTGGTAACTTGATCACCCCAGTGGGGAAAAGCTAAAACCGGCACTCCACAAGCAAGTGCCTCCAGAGTCGAGTTCCATCCACAATGAGTCAAAAAGCAGGAAATGGAAGGATGTGCCAACACTTGTTGCTGTGGACTCCATTGCACTACCTTCCCTTTATCACCAACCTTTTCCCAGAAACCATCTGGTAAAACATGTGGCTTGCTGGAGTATAGTTTCTCGGGCGGCTTCATCACCCACATGAATGAGACCCCAGAATTCAGCAATCCATATGCAATCTCCGTGACTTGTTCTTGCTTCAAGAAAACGACGCTTCCAAAAGAGATGTACGCGACAGAAGACGGTGGCTTTGAGTCGAGCCACCCCATGCAGTCATCAGCCTTCAAAATATCAACACTTATATTTGAGCTTGAGACTTTGGGATTGATGAACAATGGCCCTATAGGCTTGACTGGGCAAAGCTTTGACATATAGTCAAGGACATCATCTTCAAGCTCCTGGAAAGTATCCATCAATATGCAAATACTTTTCGATAGGTTCTTCATCTGGCCCAAGATGGCCTTGGTCATAACTGGTTTTGGTGAATAACTTACTTGAATATAATTTTTTTTTCAAAGAAATTTTAGTGCTGTATTCGTTACTAATTTTGCATTTTATTTATACGAAAACAAGCATAACATTGACAGATAAAGTTCACGTGCACAATTCATTTTTTTCTAAACCAAGTATAACAAATACTTTTAAAAAATGTACACTCATAAAACTTTGCATCTAATTACTCAGGAAATTCCATATGCATTTCTACTTTTAGAAAATGATTACAATGCTGCTTTGTTTTTTTTAATCTGATTCTTAACCTTTAAACGGTTCAAATGAAATCGTGTACTAGACAATTTTCTTCTTTTAGAAATAGAAGCACATTTTCTTGATCTGCTAGAAGGAAGGTGACTGTAATCCCGGATGGCCACTATGAAGAATTTAAATGGGGAGTACCCAATTAATGCTTCAAATTTAGTCGTGGAAAATTATTGCTCTGTTTGGATGGGAGTGTTTTTCAAAAACTAGTTTTCAAAAATAATAAAAAATTTTAAAAAGTACTCTAAAAGGTAATCTAAAAATTAGTTTAAATTTTTTAAAAATTTTAAAAAATATCTCAAAATATATTCTAGAGACTCATCTACTCTTAAATATCCCAAAATATTTTCTGAAAATATCCCAAAATATAATCTAAAAATTCTGCTACAACAAAATTTTTCAAAAACATCTCCAAAAACAGCTAATTCAAAATTTGGAATGTGACAAGTTTAGTAAGAATTTAGTTGACTTTTTATGTTGAATTGATATCTTTCTTAAATGATTTTGTGTAACTTTGTCATACAGGTAAGTTTTATTCACATATAACATTTTAATATATAAGAATAGTAACTTAATTATTTAGGGAAACACCAAATGTTGTAAAAAAATACACAAATCAGAACTATATTAAAGCCCAAAAATACCTCATTGTTCTCTTGGTCTACTGGAAGGAAGAAGATAAGGTTGCCAAATGGCCGGCAAGGAGAAGTGAAAGACAAAGAAGAAATTCCTCCAAGAAATAAACGGGAACCACCAAATGGAGATCTGCACCAAGGACTTAGGCCAGAAAATAGAATTGTTTATCTATCTTGGCTCTTCTAGACATGACGGAACCCTATCCGACGGCCGATTAAAGCAGGCGCTAAATGAGTAAACCTAAATATAGTTGGTCGTCCGGTGAATAAGAATGAGAAAGTAACTCGTTGATAAATTACAAAAGATCTAGACAACAATTAAGTGGCAACATAGACCTAGGATTGTGTTGCTAAGTTTTTGTCAACTTGTGATTTGAAACTTCTTATAGCTCACTAGCCATATGGATGCCACTAACAAAATTTTCTAATGATGATGGTTGGATCACCATCAGCCATAGCTTGAAAAAAGTTATAATTAGTTAATTTTAAACTTTTTATGAATTAGCCCTTGTATTCAAATTCAAAATTTTCTTTTTATATATCTGACATGCATCTATACCATAGTTATTAAATCCGGTCCGATCCGACGATTCAATTGGTCAACTTGATGAACCGGCCATAGAATCAGACCAGATTGCTAATTAGATCGTTTGAACAGCAAAATCGTTGACTTTTCAACGAACCGGTGATTCAACAGATCAACCGGCCGATTTTGTGAAGAACCCAAGTTACTATGCGAAAAATTTTTAGAAGATGTCACATTGATGGTTCAAAGTTTGAATGTAATGCAATCACCACTGGATGGATGTTAGAAGATGTTACATTGCAAGTTGGTGTTTTCAAAGTCCTACAAGTGGATAACTCGATAAGGTTTCTAATGGATGTAAATCATCCGTGGTCCATACATCCAATAACCAACCCCCGGTTGAGGGAGCCGCCTCAATGACTCAAATGTTATAGTTCCATTGAACTTTGACAATTTTAAGCAGACGTGCCAAAATGAATAATTATAAAGGGTTTGGACGGGTTATAATTGAGTAATAAATATAATTGGATCAATTTATTTATATTTATTTAATAAATGGATCAAAATGAGTTAGCCCATTTATATCTATTTAAGCAATGGATATAGATATATATTCAATTACCCATTTATAACTCACTTGAAATTTTATTTATTTTTTCTTATTTTTTGCAAGTTGTTTAACCAGAAATAATGACATTTTTTTAATATTAGATTGGTAAAAAATTCAAATTTGTCCACTTAACATCCACTAAAAATTAAATTTAAATGCATATTTATTTTTAAATTGATGAACCAAATCAACCTACTACCCATCAATTAAATGCTATTAATTGTATATTCATTTAGACCCATTTAAAATTCATTACGGACTCAAGTCCACTTATTAGTAAGCGGGTTTCAACGGGTCAATATAATTGAATTGTGATTAATACCTCTAATATTGAGTATTTCAGATAAAATAAAATAAAGTTTAACCGTTTAATGGTTTTTTGAAGGGAAAAATAAGGAAGAAATTGTTTATTGCAACTCTCCCTCTGGTCGCATGCCCCAAAAAGAGGGAAAAGAAAAAGCCTTGGCTGCTGAAGCAAAAATCTCCCACGTCGTGAATGCCGGCACTTCCATGAATGACAATATGGAGCAATATTGTCTAATTGTGTAGACCTGCAGGGACAGCTATCTTTGCGACTGTTTGGAACCTGAGTTTTTTGGAAGTTTGTCTAAAACTTTACTGTAGTGCACTGTAGAAGTTTTTGAAAAAATTTTATAGAAGTTTTTGTAAGGTGAAAAACTTTTTTGTAGAAGTTTTTGTAATGTGAAAAATTTTATAGAAATTTTTGTAAGATGAAAAACATGTTTTTCCTTTTTTTTTTCTTTCTTTTTCTCTTTCTCTTTCTTTTTCTTTTCTTTCCTCTCTTCTTCTTCTTCTTCTTCTTCTTCTTCCTTCCCCCTCCCCCTTCCCCGTTACCTTTGCCTCCCACCTCCAACACCTCCGCCAGCACCACTTCTCTCTTTTTTTTTTTTTTTTTTTTTTGCTTTTCTCCTCTCCCTCCCCGCCACCCCCAAACTTTTCCATCATCCCCTTTCTCTCTCCTCTGCCCACCATCTCCCTAGGCCCGCCACCCCTCTCTCTCCCTCCCCCGCCACTCCCTCTGCCCACCATCCCTTTCCTCCCCTCTCCCCCGCCACGCCTCCCTCTCCCTCCACTGCCACCCCTTTCCTCCCCTCTCCCTCTCCCTCTCCCCTCCCCCTCGCACTCCGACCACAGAGGAAGGCCGGCCATGGACCATTAATTTTTTTTAGCTTTTTTTCTCAGGCCCACCACCCCCTCCCCTCTCCTTCCTCCGCCACTCTCCCCCTCTCCCTTTGCGATCTGGTCACGCGACCGGATCGCACCTAGCAGGAGGGGGAGGGTGGCGGGGGAAGGAAAGGGGAGGAGAGGGGGTGAGGGTGAGGGACAGAAAAAAAAAATTTTGAGGTGACCGGTGCCGAGAGAGGTGGTGGAGGTGGTGGCTGGCGTGGTGGGTGAGGGAGGAAAAAGAAGAAAAGTTTTTGAAAAATTTTGTGTGTATTAGATTTTTGGGAGTGTGTAGGTAAAAAATTTTGAAAAATTTTCTGGGATTCCCGTAGCAAAAGTTGTTAAAAAAGTAGTAGCTTAAAAACGGGTAAAAAACCTTAGTTCCAAACAGGGCCTTGTTAAATTATTCGTCAAAGAATTCGGCTGCCGACTTGTAATTATCACAAGAATTAATCTCAGCCAAGAAAAACTCTGGAATGAAGCATTCGGATTGAGTCAATGAGTAGTGAGGAGTTGGGGCAAGCAGCAATCGTCCCGAAAGATTGACAGCCATGTTTTGGCCTATATATGTATAAGTCCTAAATTACATATATACATCGATTTTGACACCATATTTGAATTTCATAAAATTTTATTTTATATTTATAAGTTATTAAAAGTAAGTTACATCCAGTGAAAAATGAAGCAAAATCGACTCAAACAGCAATTGTTTGAGTCCCTAGGCCTCCACGGTTCTATAAGTTCAGATTTTTATCCCTTAGAAAATTGAAAAATTTTAAAAATATTCTTTATAAGTTTAGATATTTGCCCATGCAAAAATTAAAAATATCTTATATTACATACTTGAATGCAAAATATTAAAATTTGCATTGTCAAAGTAAACTTTCTAGTTCCGTTTATGATAGGGAATTAGGGATGAGAAAGCCAAGAAGGGGCGGTGGATATGGATTCAAGTTCAGAGGGTGGCCCCCTAACATAACCAAATAGTCAATTTTTGGATACCCTCTAGACAAAAAATTTTGTGTAAAGCAAGTCAGTTAATTAGCAGAGGCAGCTCAATCCTTAACTATGTTATAATGTTACTCTTTAATTCTTAGACAATTTGCAAAATTTAAGAAGTTACAAGTTAGAACAATCTTATTGTATAATCTGATATAGTGAATGCAACGAGAAAGTATTTCGTCGTATTTAACTAGGGATGTAAACAAGTTTAATCAAGTCAAACACCCTGCTATTCAAATTTATTTAATTATTTTAGCAAGTTTAAAATTTTAACAAATTTAAAATTTTGTTCAAACTTGGTTTATTTATTTACTGAATCAAGTTTGATCGAGTTTTTTTTTTTTTATATCGAGTTTGAATGTTTATCAAACACAAAAAGTTGTTTATCCTTGGTTTAATTAGTTGGTGAATAAAATTTGAATGAATTCTTACCAAACCAAATTCAATTCGAGTATCAAATAGTTTGGTTCATCTTTCAGTCCTACTTTAAACTTACGTATATCTCCAATTTGAGGACTAGAATGAAATTTTGTAGGTATTACTGGAATTATGTCATGACTTGATAAAAAATTTCACGAACATAAGGTAGTTTTCTTTAGAAGATTTTTTTTGGGTAAACAACAAAAAAAAACACCCTGTGGTATAGCTATCTTACAGAAAACCCCCTATAGTTTCAAATCATATGTGTTGGTATCTCATGGTTTGAAGTAATTTGAACATTGTCGGAAATCGTTAAAAAAACGATTTTGAGTGAAATGATAGAAATGATCATATAATATAAGCAAAAAATAGCCTAAAACAACCAATTTTTGATTCATTAGTTTCATTCACTAATAATATAAACAAAAAACGTCGATTTCTACAAGTTTAGAGCAAATTTGAAAAAGAATCATGGTTGTTTTATTAATGTATGAGGGAGAAAATAGGTATTTCAGATCAAAATTTGCCTTAAAAAACTATTTTTTGGAAGAACCAAGCACATTTCCAGCACGTTTACATCACACGCGTTGAATTTAATGATTTCCTTTGATTTTTCACTTTACTTCAAACCATGAAGTACCATGTGTATGATTTGAAATTATAGGGAATTATTCTATAAAATAGCTATACTATAGAGGGATTTTGTGTTGTTTACCCTTTTTTTTTTTAATTTGCTGCACTTAGGACAGCAGATAAGAACAAAAAACGAAAAAAAAATAAGAAAAAGGTGACCAACTATTATAACCATTAATATTACAACTCACCCCTGAATTGCAACATTTTGCTAAAAAAAAAAAAAAAAAAAAATTTGTGTGTTTAAAGAATTGATGAACGCATTTCAGAATGGATAAGCCGGTGTTTCTTATGTCTAACGGCAAATTACCCCCAACCTTCCTAATATCTCAATAGTCAAATTTCTCAACAGAACACTTCTCTTCCCTGTGAATGACATGATTAAGAATCTTCTGCTCTCTGGCAGTCATATGCTCTGTATGTCTCTGTGTGTGTAGATTAAACAACAATTGTCATGCTTGTGAAGTACTCTGGTGTAATGCATCCTAAACAGAAGCTCTAGGGTGACCCTTTCTGTATGAAAAACACGAGGAGCAGAGAGTGTTGTTATGGCTTTAAATTAGAGACAATACGTAAGAAACCTAAGAGAAGGATATTTCTCCAGGCCTTATCCTCATATCTTGAGTTCATGTTGCAGGTTCGTAGATGGAAATTTGTTATCATCTTCCTCTTCTAGTTGACAATTGATTGTTGACAAATAAAATGAACAATTTCCACAGTCGGTTAAATGTCAACTTACAATGCATGACCAGTTGATTATGAATCTTTTTGCAGAGCATATTAGGTCTTTTAAAATCGATGTATGCCCTGGTTACTTTGGAATTTGGAAGAAGGCTCGGATTTCCACCTTTCAATAGAAAATGCTGGATTTGAGGGGAACTGAGACCACTTGCACTTTTCTTGGTCAGCTCCATTGGCGTTCCTGATGGTTTGTTGAGCCCGATTGCTTTCAATTGGATTGAAGCAAACTCTTGGTCCTATATTCAACACTAGCTTCTTGTATGTGATAATATTCGCATGTACTGAAGAGAAATTGGAACATCTCTATTTTGTAGTACCCGCCAATATGTTAGAATTTAGAGCTTAAATTACTAAAACAACATTTAGACCTGCCAAAAAAATAGTTTACTAAGACTTGTATTGAGAGTTGAAAAATGATTTTAGATTTCTCATTCAATATCTCTCTATTAATCGAAAGTGTAAGTAATAAGTCTACACAATTTTTTTGTGACAAACCTCAACACACTATCCAAATCTCTCCTAACAAATCTCAACATAATATATAGAACAAAGAACAAGCTTGAACTAGTCAAAAACAACAAGTGTGGAACAACTCTAAGAACTTGACTTAGTTAATTACTAATTTATTTTAATTTAGTGCTAAAATATCTGTAGAACAGTCACATATCTCAATACAATAAATTCAGTCATTAAATAAGCTTCTCTTGGATTAAATGAATGAAGTCCTTGTAATCTGATTATTTGAAATATGCATCGTGTATTGTGTATATTATATTTGCAATATTCAGTTGATTGTGTCGTTTAATACCCTTTGTCTGTGCAAAGGCAAAACTTTTCTTTAAGTTTTTCACGCCCTTTGTCTGGGAATCTCACTCGTACTATTCTAATTATTGTTGTCCCAGCTTTAACATGTGAAGGCCCTACCAAAAGCCAAAGAAAAAAAAAACAACAAACAAAAAAATGTACGGCTAGAATATAATACTTCTTTCAGTGAAGACTAGGAAATTTCGTTTTGGAAAAAATGAAGGATAAGTAATGGATTCAGTGCTTTGTAACTCACACCTGTTGAATGTTGACCATCTCTGGCTGCAAAAAGTAGTCCAACTATTCAACCAAAGCATTTTACCTCCATCTGTTAAGAGTTTCCCTGAAGATGGCTGAAGCTGTACTCAGTTTTGTTGGTGTAATCTTGAATAAGATACTTCCACTTACTGCCGACGAGATCAGCCGGGTATGGGGTGTAAAGAAAGACCTTCAGAAGCTTGCCAAGAAAGTAGAGATGGTGGAAGCTTTGATTTTTTATGCTGAATGCAAGAAATCATCAAGCAAAGCCGTGCAGCTTTGGCTGAAAAGGCTCCAGTCCGTAGCACGTGATGCTGAGATCGTGTTGGATGACTTCGGATATGAAGTTTTGCAGCAGAAGGTTGAGAATCGGAAGCGCGACAAGGTACGCAACTTCTTTTCTTCCTCAAATCCTATTTCCTTTCATCTAGAGATGGCTAACAAGATCAAGAATGCTAGCGCATCTCTAGAGGAAGCTTACAGAGAAGCAAATCAGATAGGGCTTCATCCAGTTCAGCTAACCATGACATCTGCTGATCACAAAGAGGATCGGTCAACGGATCCTTTTGTGGATGGGTCGGAAATGATGGGAAGGGAAGTTGAGGAATCTCATGTTGTAAGGATGTTAATTAGCTCAGACTATAAGAAGGATTTACCTGTCATGTCAATAGTTGGTTTGGGTGGCCAGGGAAAAACAACCCTTGCACAGCTGGTGCTAAAAAATGGGAGTGTAGTGAAGCATTTTGATGAAACAATATGGGTTTGTGTGTCTGATGATTTCAAAGTGGAAAGGCTGTTGAATGAGATGCTTCAATCCCTCGAGAAAAAGAATGCTGAGACGACAAACAGGGAAGCATTGGTGAGCAGGCTTCAAGAAAATTTGCAAGGAAAAAGTTACTTGCTTGTGCTTGATGATGTTTGGAATGACAATCGAGAGAAATGGGATCGCATGAGGAGATGTTTGTTGGCAATTGGGGGTGCTCTAGGAAGCAAAATATTGGCCACCACACGTAGTGATGAGGTAGCCCCAGCAATGCAAACATCTGGTTTGTATCATCTAGAGATCCTCTCAGATGATTATAGCTGGATGTTGTTTGAAAAATTAGCTTTTGCAGACGGTGGTGTAAGAAAGACTCGAGATCTAGTGGACATTGGCAGAAGGATACTGAAAAAGTGCGGTGGTGTGCCACTAGCGATCAAAGTGATTGGGGGTCTATTGTACTCTAAAAAGGATGCCTCTGAATGGTTGATGATTGAGAAAAGTGAAATATGGAATAAGTCAAGCAATATTGCAGATGGAGTCTTTTCTGTCCTGAAGCTGAGTTATGAAAACTTACCTTCATTGTCAGTGAAACAATGCTTTGCAAGTTGTTCCATTTTCCCGAAGGACACTGTCATGGAAAAAGAAAGCTTGATACAGATTTGGATGGCCCAGGGATTGATTAATGATGCCAAGGGAGGAGGTCATTTGCAAATGGAGGATATAGGCAGTGACTATTTCAACATATTACTTCGGAGTTCTTTGTTGCAAGCTACTTTTGGGAATTCCATTAACAAAATCAAGTTCTGCCGGATGCACGACCTTGTGCATGATCTTTCATTGCAAGTGTCAAATAATTGTTGCTTAAATACAGAGGATGGCATGGAAGTCAGTCATGATGATGAAGTTATGCATTTGATCATCATTCTGAGTCAAGGGAAGATGCTAAAGAATATCAAAGGGATTCCTCCAAATTTGCAGACGTTTTATCTTGTGGGTGATGGTATGCTCGAAGACATCACCAAAACATCTAGACACCTTTGTGTATTAAAAGGAGACTGCACGAATGTTACTCATCTCCCGAATGCAGTAGGTGATATGAAACATTTAAGACATCTTCATATCAGTAAAACTCGTGTCACTGCTCTGCCAGATTCCATCACAAAGCTCTACAATTTGATAACCTTGAAAGTATTTTGCGTGAAGGAGATACCCAAGAAGTTTAGCAATTTAATTAACTTGAGGCATTTCCAGTTTTTATTTGGTGCTGCTTTGGTCCAATCATGTTTGTTCGCTGGAATTGGGCAGTTGTCTAATCTTCAGACATTGCCCTACTTTGTGGTAAGCCAAGCCAAGGGATGTCAACTTGAGGAGTTGGAACACTTGAGCAACCTCCGAGGCGAGTTAGAAATATTTGGACTGGAGAATGTGAGCAGCTTTGAATCAGCAGCAAAAGCAAATTTGTCCAAAAAATAAGACTTTCATGGGATGACACGAAAGAACATTGTGACGACAACAATATCAATAGTGTCATGGAAGGTCTCCAACCTCACCCAAACTTGAAAAGTTTAGGTATTAGGGGTTTCAAAGGTTCAAGGTTTCCATTGCGGATGGTGGCAAAGGATCACTTAATGGTACTTCGGAATCTGGCACACCTCAGGTTGGAGAAATTGGGTAAGTGTGAACAAGTACCACCACTGGGGGGACTTGTTTTGTCTCGAGTCCTTAGAGATGGTGTCCTTACACAATGTGAAACGCATTGGGGCTGAATTCTATGGTCTTGAACATCTTGATAATGCCAGGAGCAGTACTTGTAGCAGTAGTAGAGAGGCGAAACCAATCAATCTGTTTCCGTCCGAAACTATCGCGTTTTGTGTTGGAGGACATGGAAAGTCTAGAGGAGTGGTCAGATGCAATGGTTCCCTCGAATTCTTCCTCATCAATTAAGGTATTCTCTAATCTCTGGTACTTGGTAATCGAAAGGCTCCCCAGCTTGGCTGTTTTACCAGGTATGGAGAACTTGACATCTCTTGAGGAGTTAGAGATACGGAGATGTGGAATTGTGGCATGTATAAGGAATTTGAATAGCCTTACATCTCTTGAATCCTCATCCTTAGAAGACTGCCCTGCTTTAGATGCTTCTCTAGATATGAAAAACCCCCAGTCCCTACATACTCTAAACATCTCAAGATGTGATAAGTTGAATACTTCATTGAGTAATAATCTTGAGAAGTTCACATTGCTCGAGCGGTTGACGGTCTTTTCTGACGACCCTGGTTGTTGGGCAAAGGGTCTACAATATCTTGCCAACCTCTGTGAGTTGGAACTCGGTGGCTTCTCTGACAACCTTGATTATTTCCCGTGGCCAGACTCCGTCACCAAGGATGATGATGATTCTGCAAAACAACATTTCTTCTCTCTAGAAAAACTTGAATTGTCTGGATGGCCAAAAATCACGTCTCTTCCAGACCAAATTCAGCATCACTCTACCTTGACAGTTCTAGAGATACAGGAGTTTGAGGGGTTGGAAGTTCTTCCAGAATGGATAGGTAGCCTTCAAAATCTTCAAGAAGTGTGCATTGGCAATTGCACTAACCTCAAACAATTACCCTCTGCAGAAGCAATACAACAACTCACCAGTTTAAATCTACTGTATATCGCCGACTATCCTCTTTTAGCAGAGAGATGCACCAAAGGAAGTGGCGAAAAGTGGCCCAAGATTGCATGTATTCCCCTTATTGATACCGATTGAACAAAGTTTGACTCGTTTCACATTAGGGAAACAAACCGCCCTGTAAGTTAATTTTTCCAATGTTTTATCCTACTTATTCTCTGTTTTCTCAAGCTGCCTTATTGATACCAGATGTCTGCTGATTGTCTTATTCTGATTCTTGGACACGATTCAGAAAATTTAAGATAGATTATAAGTATTAATAAACTTTTTTTTTTTTAAATAAAACGATTCATTACATCATCTAAAAAACTTCAATGCACCAGGTTTTTAGTAGTGGACTATGAAAATTTACTTTTTTTTTTTTTGGGTGAGCCCTGCCATCGAATTGGTAGAATAGACATGAGCATGTTTTTTAAAAGAAAAATTACAAATGATTAGGAATTGAATAAAAATTTTCTTTTCAAGTATCCCAAGTATAGGTATTTTCCCTGAGCCAAAGGTGGCTTTTCCAGTGTTGCAACTGCATTTGATCCTAAACAACTTATCTGCTTGACCTTTGTCAGTCATTCTCGACCCTGGGGATTCTTTATGTGAAGCAGTTGCTCAAAATTTCAAACAAGGTTGTAGCTAAATGCTTAGAAATACTTTTGTTCTCTGTTATGTAATCAACCTTATTGGCATTTTCGGGCCAACAAAATCTAACATCTCTGACCTGCTCCTTTATGAACAACGCATAATTGAGCTGCAGTCACTTAGCTTGATTTTGTTTTTGGCATTTAATAGCTTGCTAAGCTAATTCTTACACGTTCTACTATTTTCCTTTTCCTGATTCAGCAAATGACTGCCTATTTGTTGAGCTCATGTCTGTTATGCTGCAGGGACAACAACCTTTCCTCACCAAGACCGACCAAAGTATTTCCATGAGGACACCTGAGTTACAGCTTCACAGTGTTATATGCAACCAGACAACTCATTTTACGATGTTACGTGTCCTTGAGTGCCCTGTTGTGTTGGAATGAGAATCAGCATCCGTCCAATTATGAATGACTGAGTGCCTGTGCATCGACGATGGTGCAGCAGAGCTTGCATGCGGTGAGCTGAGGCCAGATGGACATTTTGGGGGATTTTGATGAAACCTGTTGTAACCATGTTGAACAGCATAGTTATTACCTCTTGTAAAATTTCCAAGTCTTGCTTTCAGAACTAGCTATTACCAACTTTATTTATTCTGATTTTGCGAGGAACATGATAAAGATTGTTGAACAAGTACATGGAGGACCTGTTGTGCACTTGTACTGGGACCAACAGTTATGCAAATGATGAAACTATATAACGGCATGTATATATGCAAACAATAGAACTATATTGAGATCCAATAAGGCTAGCGGTTTGCATTTGAACAAGAATAATGCTTGAAACAGTTGTTAAGAGAAGATCTTTCATTTGTCAAAATGAACTACTCTCTGGTAATTTACAGACGCATGCCACAGCGCACACACAATGGGCTGAGGACTGCTTTGGATCCCTATTTCTAACTCAGAATGTCTAGTGTAATGATGCCAATGGGCTTCATGTGAGATTCCAAAAGTAGTCGTAAGAAATGAGAAGGTTCTTGATTCCGCTGTAAGGTTCTAATTACTGTTCATGGATAAAAAAACGACACATTAATATTTAATCAAATGTATGAATGCTATTTAGTTTGGGTGCATAAGAAACTCTCTATCTCTTTGGACAGATTAGTTGCTCATTCAACTCGTGGTGGTTACACGCCGAGTAATAGGTTAATGTGCTTCCAACGGGTCAGAATCCCATATCAGATTCTTGGTGCTTGGAAACTAAATGAGGTAATTGAGTAGTATATTTCATCCTTCAGACTAATTGGAAATGATGCATAAAGTTAGCAATGAGAAAAGCTTGCTTATGTTTTCATAACCTATGATGTTCAAAAGGTCAAAACGCTATGATTTCACCCATTGATGAACAAATTTGGGCAGACTCCATTACTTAAAAGGATTAATCTTTTCTATACTAACAGTGTATATACATACTGTCAACGTTGGATGAATGATAATTATGCAAAATTTGAATTTGAAATTTAATTTTTATACATATGTCATAGATCTAACGGTAATAGTGTATACACTGTCAGTGTATATAGGATTTAATCTTACCTAAATCTTCACCTGTTGATCATTTTAAGTTTCAAATACCAACTAATTGACATTGGCACCGATTGCTGCAGAGGAGATTGCACATATGCCCACGATTAAAATCAAGGATATTTTATTTGTAACTGTGGACTTTCTCTACTTCCTGTAAGTTTAAATTTCCTCCAGTCTTCTGGGTATTTTTTTTTTGTTAAAAAAACAAAAGAAAAAAAAACTCTTCCACATAACTCTTTTCTATTTTCATATCCACCAATTCTGATTATCTCTCAAGCATAGAGAAATGCGGAAGTTTGGCTTGTACGAGGAATTTGAAGAGCCTTGCATCTCTTCAACACTTTACCATGACGCAGAGCAACTGCTCTAATTTAGATGCTTCCCTAGATATGGAAAACTCCCAATCTCTACGTTTTCTAGATATCTCAGGATGTGACAAGTTAAATTCTTCATTGAGTAGTATTGAAGATTTTTTATGGCCCTGAGTAACTGCTCTAATATAAGAGGATGGGAACTGCAATAGATATTCCGTCCCATATTCTGTGCTACTCTTTTTCTTACTTTTTATTATATTTCTATTTCTCCTATATAAATATTATTTTTTAGTTCTTTTTTGTTATTTAAAGATTTAATAACTATTAATTGAGTAATATGCAAAATTAGAGATTGAGACAGAAGATCCGTTGCAGATTGGAACTCAGTGGTTTCAACAAAACAACATCACTGTGTTATGTTTATGTGTCCCTCTGGTCGCATGCCCCAAGAAGGGGGGAAAGAAAAAATGCCGACACATCAGTATTGGGGGGTGGGGGTTGGGTCTTGGGTTATAAGTCTCCAGTAGCCTTCAAAAGTTACCGATTTTTGGAGGTACTGTTGGGAGTTAGGTTTATTTCTCGAAATCTTACTTTCTGTACGCCGGCACTTCCATAAATGACAATATGGAGCAATAGGCCTGTAGGGACAGCTACCTTTGTTAAATTATTGGTCAAAGAATTCAGCCGCCGAGCCACTGGCGTTGGTCCAGTGGTCATCCCAAACTTGGTGCAGGCGATCAAGAGTTCGAATCTTGCTTTCTATAAAATTTATCACAATATGTGACGATCTTTATTGACCAGTTTCGATAGAAAAATCCTCGATAAAAAAAAAAAAATTCAGCCGCCGACTTGTAATTATAACAAGTATTAATCTCAGCTAAGAAAATCTCTAGAATGAAGCATTCGGATTGAGTCAATAGGTAGTGTGGTGATCATAGAGGGAACCGGAGGAGTGGCAGGAGGGGCCACCTGCCCTATTTCCCCACGGTTGGGCCAAGTAGCAATCGCACCGAAAGATTGACAGCCATAATTTGGCTATAAATATATATATATATATATATATATATATATATATATATATATATATATATATATATATATATATATATATATATATATATATATATATATATATATATATATCCCAAATTACATCTTATACATCGATTTTACCACCATATTTGAGGTCTATAAAATTTTATTTTACATTTACAAGTTGTTAAAAGTAAATTATATCCCGTGAAAAATGAAGCAAAATTGGTCCAAATGATTTTTTTGACAACCGTTTGAACCCCTGATCCTTCACAGTTCTGTAATTTTAGATTTTTATCCCTTAGAAAATTGAAAATTTTTAAACTATTCCCTATAAGTTTAGATATTTGCCCATGCAAAAATTAAAAATATCTTATATCACATACTTGAATGCAAATATATTAAGATTTGCATTGTCAAAGTAAACTTTCTAGTTCCGTTTGTGATGGGGAATTAGGGAGACAAAACCGCGAGGGGGCGGCGGATATGGATTCAAGTTCAGAGGATGGCCCCCTAACATGACCAAATAGTCAATTTTTGGATACCCTCTAGACAAAAAATTTTGTGTAAAGCAAGCAAGTCACGTTTAAGTGGTTTATTTCAAAAAATTCAGACAAGTGTGTTATGTACTCGTTTGGTCCGGTGGTGGTTCAGTCCCCTCCGAATTATCCCTGGACCTCCTTAGGTCCGCCCCCTCCCCCTTAGTATAGAATAGATTAAGTTATACAACTGTTGTTGTCTTCGAAAAAAAAAAGTCAATTAATTAGCAGAGGCAGCTCAATTCTAAACTATGTCATAATGTTACTCTTTAATTCTTAGACAATTTGCAAAATTTAAGAAGTTACAAATTAGAACAATCTTACTGTATAATCTGATATAGTGAATGCAACGAGAAAGTATTTTGTCATATTTAACTAGGGATGTAAATAAGTTTAATTAAGTCGAGCATTCTAGTGTTTAAATTTATTTGATTATTGTAACAAATTGAAAATTTTGTTCAAACTTAGTTTATTTATTTACTGAATCAAGTTTGAATGATTATCAAATATAAAATGTTGTTCACCCTTGGTTTAATTAGTTAGTGAATCAAATTTGAATGAATTCTTACCAAATTAAGTTCGATTCGAATATCAAATAGTTTGGTTCATCTTTCAGTCTTACTTTATACTTATGTATATCTCCAATTTGAGGACTAGAATGAAATTTTGTAAGTATTACTGGCATTATTTCATGACATGATAAAAAATTTCACGAACATAAGGTAGTTTTCTTGAGAAGTTTTTTTTCTTTTAATTTGCTGCACTTAGGACAGCAGATAAGAACCAAAAAAAAAAAAAAAAAGGTGACCCACTATTATAACCATTAATATTACAACTCACCCCTGAATTGCAACATTTTTCAAAAAAAAAAAAAATGTGTTTAAAGAATAGATGAACGCATTTCGGAATGAATAAGCTGGTGTTTCTTATGTCCAACGGAAAAAGTTTCGGGTTCATGGGTTAACCCAAGTAACTTTCGAACTGAAACCATGGGATCAAAATAATTATACTTGTAATCCATGGACCCAAAGTTATATTTCACTCCTTTCCACTTCAATTCAATGTGGGACGGATCCTCACATTCATCCCCACTTAAGAATTTTGCATCTTTGCAAAATCGGATCATAATCCAAACTATACACTTAGTCACGCATAGATTCTATAGGTGGCTCGTACAGAGTTTAGAGATGACCCTTGGTCAATGTGAAATTTTTTTAGAGATAGCCCCCATTGGACGGTGTACTCAACCCTTATAGCACTTAACTCCTTACACTCCATTGCATGGTCGAACCTATAACTGTATTGGTCCCAACTCATCCGATGCAGAGATGCATGGACCGGTTCAAGTAACTTTTTAATTGAAATCATGGATTCAAAATTGTTAACCCAAATTATTTTTTAATAGTCCATAGGCCCAAGACTATATTTCATTATTTTTCATTTCAAATTTTTGATAGGCTGAAGGTTATTTAGAACTCGTACGAGCCACCTCTAAACTTTGAATTCGATCAAGTGAACAGTTTGAATTGTGACGGGTTTTGCGCGAAAGTAACGTCCTTAAATAAGGATGAATGTATGATCCCACAACTAATTTCACATTGAAAGGGGGAAGGAAATATAAATGATATATAAGTTTGAGCTCAGAGGCTACTAAGTAATTTGAATTAACCATTTTGAACCTGTAGTTTTAATTGAAATTTATTTGGACTAACCCGTGGACCGAAAGCGTTACTCTAATAAATTACAGTCCAAAATTGTTTATTGAGAATTTTGGTCCTAAACATGTAGTCCGGTCTACTTGAGTCGACTTTTAACAAAATATCCGGATTTGGAATAAAACCATCTCTGGATTGTCACAAACGACTTTGGTACAAATTGGGGACAATTTGTACAGATTGGTTTTATTCCACAAACGGAATGGTTTCATTGAGGACAATATTTTGAGGTACAAATTGGTTTTTGACTGCAAAAATTACAAGTACAATAATTGGAGAGCACTGAACTTTGTCAACTCTTTTGCAAAGTAAGTTTTTCAACATTTCTTTTTTTTTTTTTTTTAGTTCTGGAAAATGAATGCTCAATTCCTCAATAGTCATCATAATTGAACATATCTTCTGTGGTCTTATCCCACAATAAAAAACAATAATAATTGGCTTCCTAAGATTCTAATTCCTAAGACCTCATTTTGCTGTCACATTGGAACTGCAATAACTTATGAAAACACCTGGTAAATTTAACAAAGAAAATCCCTCAAATGCTTCTTGGAACTCCATTTCCATAGTTAATATATATGTGTATGTGTGGAAAACTAGTTCCCTAGTAGACCCAAAATTTATAGAATTAAAAGGAAAATCTTAAAACAATTTTCTGTACTAAAAGTGGATTACTTTTTTTTTTTTTTTTGTCAGCAACGATACATTTGTATAACCTACTCTATCCTAATCTAGGGGGAGGGGGAGCCTAAGGAGGCTGTTGTAGGGACTAGTGGGTATACAGACCCAACTAGATCAAAAAAGTGCTATGGCACAACCCTTAGATTTTTTTCGCTGCCGATGGATTTGAACCCTCACCAACAGCCCAAGGAGGGACTTAAGTCCCTCCCTGGTGGCTACTGAGCTGGCCCAGTGGCTACTAAAAGTGGATTACTTGCTTAAATAATTGAACCCCAGATCAGTAAAAGTCCACTATCTACTTGTAGAACCCCCTGCGCAGGCCAGTGCAGTTAACAATTAATGGAGAACTCTGCGTCTGCGGGCACCAAGGACTTCACTGTTCTTTTACTATTCAGTTCATGCATCTTCTTCAAAATTTGCTCCATTTTTTGCAATTTGGCACTTTAACTTTGAAATACCTTCAATGTACTTACCTATATTCTATAAGTTTTTCAAAATATCATCTGTACATGGTCATATCCCACAACGCAAAACACAAACAAGGAAAAAAATAAATAAATTACTATCTAAGATTCCAACACCTGACAAGCTAACGCTGTTTTCGCATTAAAATTGCAGTGTTGTCACCAAGAAAATATTACTTGATATTGGCAACTTATATATACATACATACATATATATATATATATATATATATATATATATGGGCAACTTATTAGTAATTAGGCTCAAAGTTTCTAGAACCTAAAACGGATATTGGAATTTTTTTTATGTACAAAAAGGGGACTACTTGCTTTATGGACCATTTTTATATCAAAGACTTTCTTAAATTTAACTCTACAGATGAAGTTAAAATGAAAAAGAAGATAAGACTCCACCATCTAGCTATATAACCCAAGCCCCCAGTGTAGCATTCCATCATCTTCCCTGATCTTCACCACACCTAAAACACTTTCTTGCTCTTCATTTCTTCAGTTAGCAATGACGCCTTTTCTCTTCTTAGCCACTTTGTTCTTAACCCTCCTGAGGGCTCTGAAGGCTGATCCAACTGATGGGTTCAGCTATGTTAAGCTGAGTGAGGCAAATTTTCAAGTCCAGAAGCCGTACGATGTCTCTGTCAATCAACGCTATTCGTACATTGGTGGTGAACACAGACTGTGGGTTTATAAGACAGATAAACCTTATTCTCAAACTAGCAATACCAAACCTCGTACTGAAATTCGCATCACAGTAAGTATTTTTTCCTGGCAAAAAAAAGAAAAAAAAAAGTTTTCCCTACTAGAGATATGATTCTCAGTTTGGATTAGCTGTTTTTGAAAAACTTTACTGTAGCAGTATATATGAAAAATTTTGACTATAAAATTTGTTTGAAATATTTGATATATTGTATGGATGAAATTTTTTTTGAGTTATTGTGTATTGATGTAGCATTGTATTTGAAAAACTTGTTTTTGAAAAAATGGCCAATCCAAACGGGTAGCAAAGTAAATTTTGGGTTGTGGATAGGGTAGGAAAACTTTGAAACTGAACGATGAACTGTAAATGAAAATGCATGAAATGGTGTCGAACTCAGAGTATTGTCCATGGTTTCCATATTAGTTATACCTGTGACATGTTTAATGTATTTTTTATCATTAGTATAAATTTCATGGAATGAAATAGTGTATTTTATCCAAAAAAGAGAGTATTGTCCATGATAATAATTGTTTCACTCAGAGAGGGACATGGGCTGTTGCAATTGCGTTGAATATATGGTCCAAATCGGGCCACAATAATTCAATCTAATCTGTATCATTCATTTTAAAATAAAAAAAAATTGAAATAAATCGAACTGAAATTGACATGATTTTGAGTGATTAATAACACTCTGTGATTGCACTTGCAACGTCAGAGGCCCCAAACCCAATCTTGAATTTGGAAGAGGACCCTACTTTGCTCTACCAAGCTCGCAAGCTACCCCAAAAAAAATAAAATGAAGTTGACATAACATTGCTGGTAATTAATTTGCTTCTCAGGGCTACGACTACACTTCAGGTGTATGGCAATTCGAGGGTTATGCATATGTACCCTCTGGAACTTCTGGTGTCAGCATAATGCAAGTATTTGGAGCAAGCACTCAGGCCACAACTGCTATGCTAAGAGTCTACAATCCATCCCTCACATACTACACAAATCCTGTCCTAATCCCCAACGTCTACAACAAATGGTATCGTGTCAATGTGATACATGACACAGGTGCAGGGAGAGTTAGAGTGTACATTGATGGAGTTTTCAAGTATGAAACTCATGATAATGGTCCTGCTACACACTATTTCAAGTTTGGAGTGTATACACAAGACAATCCTTCTGATTACATGGAGTCCCGTTGGGTTGGAATCAAAGTTCTGAGGAAGAACTGAGATCGATGTATTGTGGCATAAATAATTATGGGATATGTGAAGGCCAATGTGCACTTCTAATAATAATATTAATAACCCTTGTACTTCGGTTTGATGGTTGATATTTCTCAATAATGGAAGATAAAGGTTTTTGTTTTTCATCTCTTTTTTTTTTTTTTGTTGGTTTAAGTGAAACTTTAAACCTACTATAAAGTACCCAAAAAACACAAGATTAGAGAACGGAGCCGGAAATCTCATGGTTACCTGATTAATGTCCCTTTCGACTAAGTTTATTCAAATAATCTCATGGTTATTTCAAATAATCTACTGTCCAAACACACTCATTAATATCCTTTTGGAAGAACTCATCTACATATATTATAGCCCCCAAAAAAACTCGTTTATGTGGAAATTCAATAGATGATTGGAGGACTCGATACAATAGATGATTGGAGGACTCGATACGATTTGAAATTTTGTCCAACTTATTTGTCATCTGCAGCAAGGAAGTTGAGAAGACTGCTGGATGGGCACCAGTAAGTGGGGCTATGACTTCAAATTGAATTGTCACTGAGTAAAGCAGAATTTACAAATGAAGGGGATCTCATTGCTGAATTTACTTCAATACCCCGGATTATTATACGTATGTATCTTACAATATCCCTTTGTGTCATGAACACAAATGAAAAAGATAATGGAAGGCAAAGTATTGTCTCATGTAGGATAAGAAAGCTTCATTTCATGTAAACCAAGAAACAAAAAAGCGACAATTAACCCTTGAGTTCTGTTTGTCCATTTCCATCTTTTTAACCACTTGTTCATCATAACCATTCTCATCAAGATAACAATTTAGCTCACTAATTAGCAGAATGAAATTATTTCAGAAAGGATGAAAAGTATGTAGACTTTGTACCCCTTAATTATGTACTTCTTGGATGCTTCAAATTTTGGTTTTGTTGATGTCATTCATCGCAATGGCGGAGAGACATTGTGTTGAGTGTGGGCATTGTGTTGAGTGTGATTCTTTTAAATTCCCAAAATTCATATGTAAGAGTATGAGTGGGATTTTACTAAATAATCCATTACTATCATGATTATGCAAGGGATTTTACTAAATAATCCATTACTATCATATATAATCACGTAATCGATGTATTGCATCTATTAGAGTTAGAGTTAGTTATTTTTTAAGTATTTACAAATGAATAACTGAAGAAGTCTCTAATAGATATGCCTGTGACATGTTCTATGTATATTCTACCATTAATACAACTTTTTTTTTTTTATCAAGTAATCGATCAATTGGAAGATTTTTAATTAATTTATTAATAATATTGACTTCTATTTTATCTCAAAAAAAAATTTCAAATGGATATAGATTTCCTGTGAAACATACAATGAATTCAACCCCTTAGCCAGGTTCTGTCGTTACCCTGGACATGTAGACATAGAAATAGAGCTGTTAAGCCAATCAAGTAACTCGAAAGCTCGTTAGAGCTCGATTCGTTAAGGCTCGAGCTCGGCTCGTTAATTTTGGTTAACGAGTCGAGCTCGAACTCGAAACATGCTCGTTTAGTTAACGAGCCGAGTAAGCTCGGCTCGTTTGATACTCGAGTAGCTCGTTAGAGCTCGTTAATGAAGGGTATATTTGTCATTTTAGAAATTAAAATTATATAAATTAAAAATTATAGGTTTTTATTAATGTTAATTTGTACGAACTCGAGCTCGAGCTCGTGAAGCTCGACTCGTTTGTGATAAACGAGTCGAGCTCGAGCTCGAGGTCGAGCCACATGTACATTTAACGAGCCGAGTTCGAACACATTTTAAAGTTCGTTTTCTTAACGAGCTCGAGTCGAGCTCGGCTCGAATTAAACTCGAGTCGAGCTCGGCAGCCAAATACTCGGCTCGACTCGGCTCGATTAACAGCTCTACATAGAAATGGTTACACGATGGTAAGCCGCCTGCAAAGTCAAATGTTATATATATATTTTTTTCGGAGACGACAATTATTATATAACCTAATCTATTCTACACTAAGGGGGAGGGGGTGGACCTAAGGAGGCCCAGGAATAATCCGGAGGGGACTGAATCACCACCGGACCAAACGAGTGCATAACATACCCGTCTGAATTTTTTTGAAGCTAAGTCAAATGTTATATGTTTCCTTTGAAATTTGAAAATTTTCAGTACTTCTAAGGAATAATACAAGTTTACCATTTCTAGATTTTTTTTTAAGGACCATTTCTAGATTTCAAAACCGAAAAATAGTATAGTAATCCTTTATTTATGTATGTTGATGTATTTTGCCTCCTTGCTCAAAAAACAAGGGAGAAAAAAGGCTTTGCAAAAATCTTGAGTTCGTGAATTTTTGGACGTGAGAGATCCTAAAAGCAACCTAGTAAAAATGGTGTGTGTATATATATGTGTATATATATATAGACACACCCACAGCTGGTAGCATTAATTTGGATGGAGTCAACAGGCAGTGATGAGGGGGAATTAGGGTAGAGGACCTAGAGGCTACGGGCAGGTGAGGTTATTGAAAGTCATAAATATGATTATTGATAGTTGATGAAAGTCTACAATTACACTCGTTTTTTTAAGTGGTATCTTGAATCCAGAACTTCCTACCTATAATTACTAATAAATATTTATGTGTCTTTTTGTATCTATTATAAGTTCTAAAGTGCAATATGGGATACGTAAATCCTAAGTCCAAAGAAATTTATGAATGATCAATGAGTATACCAAATATACCCCCAAAAAATCGATTGTTATTTAAAATTGAAATCAAACATCCGAAATCAAAATCGATTAACCAAATTAAATTTTACTGGGTTGAAAATTCGGATAACCAATTTTTTGGGGGCATATAATTAAATTTTATTGGGTTGAAAATTCGGATAACTAATTTTATGCTCACCCGACTGTCCGTGGGAAAGGCAAATTGCGTGGGCGGCTAAGAAACATGGTCAAAAAGTCAGCTTTCCTATTTCCACCAAATGATTGGTTTAACAATTAACAAGTCCGCTAATAGAACCAAATTACTTAATGATTAATTATATTACTCCCTAATTCTCAGTCTCGTCCAAAAGGCAATGCAAAAATTTAACAGACCATATAATAGTGGATTGGAAAATGTAATCGCACCCTACTTTTTATTAATCACACGCTTACCATTAATTTATTTTATATAATCTAATAAATAAAAATTGCATGATAAAAAATGATAGTGGAAATATCATTAACAAAAAGTGGAGTGTCATCAACAATTTCTTAGTGGATTTTATTGGTCCTCGAGTAACAAAATAATTCTAACATTATGATAGTAGAGCGCTTTAACAAATGGGGGGCATAATAAGTCATTTGCTGGGAGCAAATGACCTTTAATCTCCATAAACCTAAGTGATTTTGCCGCCTTGGTTTCTTGCGGTTTCAACATGTTATAGTGAGTTTTATATTGTGACAATTTGTGCTCTAACTTTTTTTTTTCTTTTTTTTTAAAAAGGAATTGTGCTCTAACTTGGCTTTGGATATTTTATCAAAATTTTGGTGTTAGATGTCCTATTACTTTTTGAGTAAATCCTATACACATTGATGATGTATACACTATCACGGTTGAATATATAACATTTTTGTAAAATTTGAGTTTCAAATTCAAATTTAGGTTATGTGTCACGCATCTAATAGTGAAAGTATATACAGTGTTAGTGTATAAAAAATTAATCTTTACATTTTATGTACTTTCAATTTATCTCACTTTATGTACTATTATTTTCACCTTTATAAAAACTAATTTTACCTTAATTACCTAAATACATGTTGTCAAGATAACTACCTTTAAGCATTTCTTAATTTACTATTTAGACTTTTTTTTTTCAATATAACCACCCCTAAGCAATAACTACCAACATAACAATCATTTTATCAAAATAATTTGGATAAATTACTTACAAGTCTCCTATGATTTTATATAATCCCGAATGATCCCCCTCAGATTTCAAAATAGCCACATAATTCCCCTATGATTTTTGTGTAAAGTGGAAAATAGATGAAATGCACAATCAATTACAGGGTTTATACCAAATGCACTCTAAGAGTGTGTGTGATAAAATTTTAATCTCTATAACCCCCTTATGGTTTGTATAATTATCCACTCTATCCCCTATAATTTTTGCATTTATCCACGTAACCACCATATACTTTTATACAAGGTAGTTAAGCTATTAATTGATTTATCATTTAAGTAAGGACACTATTGGTATTTTAGTTAACGATGTTACTGTGTTATTTTTCACCAAATTTTCACTTCACATAACACTATAGGGGGTGAAACAGACATTTTCAAATGTTAGAGGGTCATATGGTAATAGACAAAACTAGAGGGGGTTATATGTAATTTTTCCAAATAATTTAGAAGATTAAAACTTTCTTTAACAATAAACATATGTATGTAAAATTCATTCACTATAAATATTATGCATTTCTTTATTTCACACATATCGAATATACATTTATCATTATTTATGTTAATTCATACCCGTCACCTTATTCTAACTGATATCAAAGAAAAAAAAAAAAGGTGTCACCCTCGTCAGCCTCATGCTTGGTGTAACAGAAATTGAAACTTGTAATATTGGCCGGCTTAAGTCAACTTGCAAAAGATTTCAGATTTGGGCATTACACATTCGTCACAAGCAACTCAACTGTACCGGAGGGACAAAGTCCAATACTAATCGTGCAATAATTTTGCATGATTGTTGCCAAATGGATTCATTTAAAACAATAATTCCAGATACAAATTGATGTTATTGAGATCATTGAATGGAATTAGTCTTTTAGTTGGACCTTTTCACTTTGTCAACTCTTTTGCAAAGCCTAACACTTCTTGTGTTCTGAAAACAAGTAGGCTACAATAATGCAAAACTCCTCTGTCATTTGGGACTTGACTGTTCTTTTCAGTTTCAATTTACGCAATTTCACTTCTTCAGGATTGAAATATTTCCCCCATTTTCTGGACACCGGCACTTCAACTTTGGAATGCCTCCAAAAAGAGCACAATTGGAAATTTTAGGTTTCCAATGTCTTGAATATGTGGATTTTTAAAATTATCTATTCTGCCATCTCCATGGTCTTATACCACAACATACCCAAAAAAAAAAAAAAAAAAGAAAAACACTTTCTAAGATTCTAATACCTGACAAATTTTCAAATTAGAATTGCAATCTTCGTTACAATTAAAAAACAAGGTAGATTCGTAGTAGAAGATTAATAAAATTAATCTTATGGTATAATTCCATAAACCTCCCCTAAGATTTCTGACAATTTCACTCAACTCTGCTGAGATTTGAAAAATTACACCTATCTCCCTTGATTTGATAGTTTTAGTAACTAAACCTTAAAATAATATTGATTTGGACAAATTTTTTAAATGAATACCCAAAAATGCCCTTGTGCAATGAGTTTTAATTCATTTTCCTATACAATTATTAGATTATCTAGTACAATTATAAGGAAAAGGTACCAAAATTTTCATATCCATACCTACTGTTTGATAAACAACTATAATAATAATTTTATCACTATGATATGATACTTTTGAGGGTATTTTATTATGGATTTAGATTTATAAGATGGAAAGAAAATGTTAAAATAATTCATTTAGAATTTATGAATTTTTTGAGAAGTAAGATTATCATAATTTAGTAATGGTTTTGGACTATTTCTTTTTTATTTATTATTAATCTTAATACCAAAAAAAGTAGAAAACAAAGATCAGCAAAAATATTGAATTACATATAAGTTAACTCATAAAAAAATCACTAGTTCGACATTTAGTTACAATCGAAACTAGAGGTACTAGTGCTAGTTATACAGTTTTACTGGCAAAAAATTTTTTAAAAAAAGGAATAAGAAGGAAAAAGAATGAAAAAATAATTTTAAAAGCCATTCTAAGTACAAGCATACCAAATAAGGGAATTTTTCATTAAAATATTTAGGGGTAATATTGTCACTTTAAATGACAAGGCATGTATATGTAATTTTTAAAACATTGAAGGAGCTAAATGAAATTGTTTAAAACCTCGAGGTAGGTTTCTGAAATTATCCCTTATCTTATCTTTACCTGTCATGGCCTTCTTGAGTTCAAAAGTAGACCCTTAGAATTTCTGTACTAAAAGGGCACTGCTTGCATTTTTTACCAGTTTTATTATCAAGACTTCCTTCAAATCGAATTTAAGCCGCCCCAACAAAAATAATAAAAATGAAAAATAAAACCCAAGATCAGATTCTACCACCTATAAAAACCCATGCCCAGATTCAGTCCTCCATATCTTCACTACACCTAAAGCAATTTCTTGCTCTTCATTTCTTGAGTTAGCAATGACAACTTTCCTCTTCTTCACCACTTTGATCTTAACCCTGCTGAGGGCTCTGAAGGCTGATCCAACTGATGGGTTCAGCCCTGTTTCGCTCAGTACTGCAAATTTTCAAGTTCAGAAGCCTTACGATGTCCCTGTCAATCAACGCTACTCCTACGTTGGTGGCGTTCATAAACTGTGGGTTTATAAGACAGACAAACCTTTTTCTGCTGGTAGTACTACCAAACCTCGTACTGAAGTTCGCATTAATGTAAGTTTTTCTCTTCTTTTCTTCTTCCGGCAATTCATATAGAAAACTATCTTTCAACTTTGGAATAGACCTTTCAACTTCTACCCCTTTCAACTTTGACAATACATAGCAAAACAACGAAGTTTAAGAACCATTAATTATGTTACTTCGCTTCTCAGGGCTACGATTACACTTCAGGTGTATGGCAATTCGAGGGTAATGTCTATGTACCCTCTGGAACCACTGGTGTTAGCGTAATGCAAGTTTTTGGAGCAAGCACTCAGGCCACAACTGCTATGCTAAGAGTCTACAATCCATCCCTCACATACTACAGAAGTCCTGTCATAATCCCTAATGTCTACAACAAATGGTATCGCGTCAATGTGATACATGATACAGGTGCTGGGAGAGTTAGAGTGTACATTGATGGAGTTCTCAAGCATGAAACTAATGATAATGGTCCTGCTACACATTATTTCAAGTTTGGAGTGTATACGCAAGACAATCCTTCTGATTATATGGAGTCTCGTTGGAGTGGAATCAGAGTTCTCAAGAAAAACTGAGATATTGTGGCATAATTATGGGATATGTTACGCCCAAAATTTGGAGTTCTAAGTATCTTTAATAAGTAATAATAACTGCACTTTGGCTTGATGGTTGTTGTTTCTCAGTGAAAAATAATGGTTGCGTACAATTCGCTGTACTGCTTTTATTTTGCATTATTGAAGTAATAATAACTGCAATTATTCAAGGTTTGTGGAATGCAGGGTTTTTTTTTTTTTTTTTTGGCCCTTCCTTTTCAGCCTATAGAGGTCCAAAAGTTGTTCAGTAAGTGTACAATATAGTTGCTCAAAATATGGGATTCCTTCGTTTGGCAAGGGTGTGGAATTGAGAAGAATTGGGACGACAGGGATCATAAAAATTGGGATGAGAGAGAGGGCATTTGTCTAAAAGTATCATTTGTAATTTCTAGATATCCATGTGAAGAACAAATAAGCCTGCTTTGTACCCTCAAATTTATAAGCACTAAAAATTATTGAAAATCACTTATAAGTAAAGGTATCAATCACAATTCAATTATATTGATCCGTCCAAATCCAATCAATTCACCCATTTTGACACCTCTAATCATAAATAAGATACCCCTTTGATATCTTTATAGGAGATCGAAACCTGGTTCCAAACTCCCATGAGAACTTATTGCAAGACAAGCAGCTTGATTTAAAAAGCTCTGTTTTGTGGCCAAGAAGTGTGACAGAGTTCTTTTATAAACAAGATAGAAAACGCAGTCCAGATTTTGCGCCTGGCATCTTGGAAAATTTTATGGTTAGAGTTTGTTTCTTCAATAATTGGTAAAATTCGAGAATAAGGATTTGGAATAATGAGAAAAGTCAGAAATTTGACTTTGCTTTTGCTTTTGTTATTCATTCTAATTTAACCAGCAAATGCAACTAAAGTCAAGTCTTCTGCTAGACTTCCTCAAATTTCAGTAAAAACCTAGCAAATTAGTACCTTGTGACTAATAAGGGACAACAATACTGGTCAAAGCCTCAAAAATGAGGAATAAAAATGATAATTTTTCCCTTTGATAGAATGATTTCCGTTACATACGAATCATTGGTTTGAACAAAAACGCCTGTAATTCTCTTGGACCTCTTGGTCTTGGTCCTTGTGTGTGTATAAGTCTTGGTCTTTGTTTGCCACAACAGAAGTTGTTGGGAAACTGTTGTCACATTTATTCAACTTTTTACTATCATAGTACCGCATCTTTTGTGAACAAGATAGCGCATTGTACCACTTACCCCAAAAAAATAAAAAGCCTGGCCTGTAGTACTGGCTATTGTTAGATCACAGAAATTTTCAGATCTTCAGATAAGTTTATTTGATTGCTAGACCAGATAGAAATCTGATGTCCAAGGGAAAAGTAGATACCATGATGGAGACGTCTTCCATCAATAACACTTGTTGCTTTGATTTTGCTTTAGATTATCTGGCCTGGCTGGACAAGTCCTGTAAATCCTGTTTTGACTGGTATCCTGATATTTGGAAGCTGAAGATGGAGGTAAGGCTATTGAAAACCTTTTTTCTGTATGTCAGAAATTGTAGGAGGAGGAGAAGGAGGAACAGTGGGGATGGGGAAACCTGTGTGGAGCATGATCACGAGAACAAGGGTAATGCCATGTCTGAAACTTTAAGGCTTAGTACTATTTCTTTGAGGATTCAAGAATTGCTTAATGGGATGACGCATCATCTTCACTTAGCTTATCAGAGATATATCCATTCCCGTGCATTGGATCGTAGACGCATCATCCAAATTGAGCTCAACAGGTCCAGGGAAAATATCAAGTTGTTTCTTGAAACTGATATCAAGAAATCATGCATCCTCACCTTGTTGGACTACCACTCGCTAGGTGATCCACGACTAGTTATGGATCTCATTGATTCCCTTGTAGAGTATCTGGATGATCTTCGCGGGAGAAAATGGGAGAAGCTAATAGAAACCCTTCAAGAGAAGCTAATGTTGTTAAGGAATCTCATTGGCTTGGCCACAGTGCAAGGTGTTGAGCATATGCAATTGATAGATCTCTTGATTCACGTTGAAGTTGTGGCTGCACGCTTGATTTCTGTATGTCGGTTTGCAGAGATGATGAAGTGTTCGATGAAATGGAGTACAAAATTTCTCAATTGATACAGGAGAAGATTAATCCTGTTGACCCCCAGGTCCAAGAAACTTATATCCATGTCCTGACAGCTTCAAAGCAATCGAGATCATCATATGCTTCAGCCCTGGAGGAGAATGAATATGCAGTGGCCAACTTTGTTGATTCTTTCCTAGATTACCTTATCGATCTACTAGGATCTTATAACAGTTTTCAGGTTCAAGTGAAGGAGCAAATGCTAAAACTCCATCAGAAAAAAAGATTCATGAGTATCGTACTCAAGAAGAAGTTCAATGAGCTACGTGATGAATTGAAGGATCTTATTGGAGTTGTGGCTTGTGATGCAGGAATTTTGATGTTCACCCTTTCTCCAAATGAAATGAAAGAAGGCTTGACTGAGGAAACAGATCTTGCACTTTTCCATTTGCTCAAAGTGCTCAAGTATATAATGGCAGAAGTAGCATACATGTATCCACTAACATCATCATCTTCATTTAGTTTTCCCAGGACCAATGAGTTAGGCTCTGTTGGAAAATCTAAAGGAGCTAGCAAGCTGTGATGAAACTGATCATTCACTTGCTTTCCCAGTTGATAGCATCCACATAGTCCAAAAAAATCTCACATTCTTAAGATCTTTCCTCGAGAATATCAAGGAGAAGCGCAATCAGAATGACAAACTCAAAACTTGCTGGAATCGTGTTATGGAGATTGCATACAAGGCAGAGTTAGTAATTGACTCGATAGTTGTCAGTGATAAAGGTCATTACTTTTTGGATGCTGTTGCTGAAGACATCAATCTTATGAAGATCGAGGCCCAAGAGATCTGTGACAGCATAAGTTATAATGGTGAAATCAAGAGAGTTACCCGGGCTTCCGTTCACATGCCATCTCAATTAACTGCCGCCATGAAGATCTTGTGGGTCTTGGAGACGAGGTGGAAACTATCACTGGCAGACGTACAAGAGGAACAAAGCAGTTGGATGTTGTTCCTATCGTGGGTATGCCTGGGCTTGGTAAGACTACATTAGCCATTAAAGTTTACAGTGATCCTTCAATTAAACTGCACTTTCATATTCATGCTTGGTGTTATGTTTCTCAAGTATACAGCAATCACAATTTGTTAGTTCAGATTTTATGTAGCATTGATTCTAGGAGTCCTAACCAATGTGTTAAGATTGAAGAAGATGTTTTGGCTGTAGAACTATACCAGCGTTTGAAGGGACATAGGTATCCCATTGTTTTAGATGACGTGTAGGACATTGGGGTATGGAATTTGTTGAGAAATTCACTACTAGATGATGCCAATGGAAGCAGGATCATGTTCGCCAGCAGATATCAGAATTTGTCTTCGCTATTTAAAGAAGATTGCAAGCCTCACCAAGTCACCATCTTCGTCAACTTACTGATAAAGAGTGTTGGGCTTTGCTGCAGACTAAGATATTTGGCAAAGAAGGATGTCCTCCTATACTAAGTGAAGTTGGATTCCGAATAGCAACAAACTGTAAGGGACTACCTCTCATTGTTATCCTGGTTTCTGGAATTCTTGCTACTACTGATCAAGATTGCTGGGAAGAAACTGCAGAAACTCTAAATGCCAGCATTATTCTTGACACTGGAAACTGCATGAAGACTCTTGAGCAGAGTTATAGTCATTTACCAGATTATTTGAAGCCATGTCTTCTTTACTTTAGTGTATTTCCAGATGAACGAGATATTTCTGTACAAAGGTTGTTACAGCTTTATATTTCTGAAGGATTTGTTCAAAAGACTGAAAGAAAGAGCTTAGAGGAAGTGGCCAATGACTGCTTGATGGATTTGATTGCTAGAAGTTTAGTTATGGTTACTCGAGAAAGAACTCTGGGAGGTGCCAAAGCCTGCCAAGTTCATGATTTGGTACATTAATTTTGTGTGGAAAAAGCCAAACTAGAAGGTTTTCTACATATAATTGATAGGTATAAAGACCCTTCTTGTCCTACAGGACCTTGCAACTACAATCCCCACCGAATGTGTATTTACAATACAATGGTAGAGGTGGTTAAGCAGTCAAGGCAAATTTTTCCCAATTTACGCTGTTTGCTCTTCTTTCCTAGCTATGAGCAGAATGCTACAGATCTGGATTTGGGGTTTTTGATGTCTAAACTTCTTAGAGTGTTGGATTTGGGAAACTTTGACTTTTGTGAATCATTTCCATTGGAAGTACTATGCCTTGTTCACTTGAGATACTGGGGGATTAATCTGAAAATAGACTTTGTTCCATCTGCAATAGCCAATCTCTCAAGGTTACATACTTTGGTGGTTTATGGAAGCATTACTCATGTCGAGTTGCCAAAGACTATCTGGAATATTAAGACGTTGAGGCATCTTTGGGTATAAAGTTATTATATATACGGTTTTAGTTTTCCCAGTGACAATCTTGAAGAATCCCCGGATTTAGTTCATTTAGAAACTCTAAACCTTATAATTGATCCCTCTTCTCAAAGCTTGCAAAAGATACTGAAAAAGTTACCCAACATCCGCAGGCTAAAGTGTGTTGGAGTCTCAGGGCTCTAAACAGCATCTTCTGGAATTTGCTATGGGACTCTGATGTTGGATCATTCGAGTCTACTAGAATCCCTAAAGGTGGTATGTGGATTTGAAGCATTCGAGTTTGAATTTCCATTAAATTTGAGAAAATTGACTCTCTCATGCAATGACCGGACATGGAGTGAAACTTCAGCAATTGGAAAGCTGCCCAACCTTGAAGTTCTTAAAGTTCGAGACTCCTTTTGTGGGGGAAGAATGGGAAATGAAAGAAGGGGAATTCTGTAATCTTCGATACATGGAGCTATCAGATTTAGGCTTTTGCAGGTGGACTGCCTCTGCTGATAATTTTCCCCGTCTTGAGAAATTGGTTTTGCATTATTGCGAGGTGCTGGAAGAGGTCCCTTCTTGTTTAGGGGAATGTTCGACTCTTGAAATGATTGAGGTGAAAGGGTGTAGTGAGTCTGCTGTATGTTCTGTAAAGCAAATTGGACAAGAACAGATGGAAATGGGAAATGAGGGTCTGAAGATCATTATGTGAAGTTATTGCTGATCCATGTTTCCTTAGTACTAAGATCAAATTGAAGTTATTGGTGATTTCTGTTTTCTTACTACTCAGATCAAAAGGAGTCACAGACTCACTGCCCTCTCATCGTATTTTACAGTGGTGAGCCATTCGTGTCTTTTCTTGAATTGGGACAGAATCAATTCAGAGTGGGATTCCATTCAGTAGGTTAGATGTACTACCACAGTACCACCTGTATATTCTGAATTAGTTCGATGACAACTATTCATGTTTCTTTAAGCAATTTCTGAAGATCCCCAATTCTTTGGTCTCAACTTGATTCAGCTATAACTTTGTAATTGCATGTGGCAAGACAAAATCTTCTCCATATTCTTTTTCCTGTTTGTTGTTTAATGATGTTCATGAGTCTAGTCTTTTCAAAATGCTGCTACAGATTGATATGATTTTTAAAAGCGGCAGAACACATGCCATATGTGCGAGGTGCCCTTTTCTGTTCCTTCTATACATTTCAACCAGAGTAATGAAGACTTCTGCAAACAATTCCAGCCCACCACAGGTCTTAATTTAGAACTCCCAATTCATCACATCCAACAGCTAGTCTAATTCTCATAAAGGCAGTTAACAAGCAAATCCTGTTTTGCGCAAGAAAACGACAGAAAAATTAGTTGAATCACAGAACTTCATAAAAGAGCTAATAATGTTTGATTTGAAACTATTTAGACCTGAATCACAGAAAGCTGATAGAAGAGCTAACGAATCAACAAGATTGACAGAAGTTCCAATATATCACGTTGATGTTATGGTTGAGAAAAGATATTGCAGGTAAAATATGTTCAAGGGACAGTTTCTGATGTTAATGGGTGCTTGATACCCAATTCGGAAGTAGCAAATTTGGTTGGATAGGATTGCTATGTATTCAGATGATTGTGCATGCATCTGATGCTGTCCCTGTTAGTGGATTATCCAGCTGTTGAAACTTTGTACTCAGATATCACTATACTATCTCTTATTTGTTGCAAGATGGTAGTTAAGAGGATGATTTCTTAGTATAATTTGCGTTCATGCTGCTGCAGAGATGTGTTATCTTTCTCATTTCTCTGCTGATAGTTACTTGGAACGAGGAGGGAAAGCAAATCCTACAGATCAACAGCTTTCTGAAGATGCAACCTATGGCCACAAAACACACCAAAACTGTGTATGGTTTCAATTGGAAGACCTGAATGCCAGAATTCAAAAGTACTTGGATAGTTAAATGACTAAACAGTAGAGGTTTCTTTTACCACTAAATTTGTGTTCGCAGAATACCTAAAAAGAAGTGCCATTGAGGTCCTGATTTAGTGGTCAAGATTGAAACTGCAAGAGTCAGATGTCCTGTCCAACTGAAACCTGATTTAGTGCTTGTATTCACCTGTTCAATAGTTTTTCAAATTTTCATGCTTGTACTAGTAAATGGGATCTCTTATTTTGTTACAGGGTACTAGTAAATAGAGTGATTTCCTGGTATACATCCTATTCATGCTACCCTTTTGATCCAGTTTGGTTAATTGTGGAATCCCTTCATTGCACATACAGAAAAAGAAAAAAAAAAACTATGAGCCTTTAGATATGGTTTGTATTTTCTGGTTTTCTATTCTTTCTTCAATTCTCTTGTATTTTTCATCCCAATCAGCTGAAAAGCCCCTTGCTACATCATTCTAGAAAGCCCCATGCTTGTCCTGTATTTTAATGGAGTCAGGACACATTTGTATGCTTGGATAATTATAAGGCTAGATGTTCAACACAATTATCAAATCGAAGGTACAAAAATACTTAAAAACATGAAAGATATTGAGATTCAAGAGGCAAAGTCACTACAAGAACATTAAATAAAATATTTAATGTGGGATTTTTATTTTTCGAATAAATACATTGAGCATCAACTACGGCGTCAAGACGTGGGAAGACGAATTTGTGGTAGAATTCACAAGATGTGGAGGAGATGGTGGCTGAGGATAACCATAACCACCGGAATCATCATGTTCATCAGCTGCATCACAATAACCACGAAGGATGTCACCTTCTTCAGCAGTGTAGCCAAGAGAGCCAAGCATGGAAGGCCAGCAATGGTGTTCAATGGTTCTGATGGCACGGCAACAACTCGGTCCAAGATAGGTTTCCCCATTAAGGAAAAACAGAATGACTTCTCCAGTGCAAGACCTCAGCTCAAAGAGAGATTCCCAACAAGTAGCTAATAACGAGTTATCACCCCAATACTCTCAAAAGCTCTTGATAGCTCACCTTGAAGAAATTAGAACTCCTCCCCAGGCAAACAGTCAACTACCAATTTGGAGCACGTAGATGTGGCAATCCTCAAGGGAATGGAGAATAATGAAATGATTGACTTGAGAGACAAAATGGCATGGGATGACACGACTCAAATGAAAGAGTAACAAGGGACTAAGACACTGATAGAAATGAAGAAAAGAAGACACGACTCAAAAAGAGAAAAATACTTTTTTTTTAGAAACACAAGTTGCCTTGCTTGTTAGTAGGTCCGAACGGGTTTCTAGAAGGCTGACAAGGTGGCGGTTAGCTTCATAGAATGGAGGGATAGGGCCGAAAGAAAAAGGAAAAAAAAGGCTAAAGAAACTCCTAAAATGTAGGAGTAAGTAGAGGCTAAAATCTAAGAGAAAATGTTGCTAAAATGTAGGAAAAGATTCCTTAAAAATTAGGCGCAAGGTGGCAGTGTTGGGAGGTGTAATATGAGTGGCTAAGGTAATCCCTAAAATCTAAGTAAATGGGCGGCTAAAATGTAGGACGGGGGGAGAAAATTTAGGAGAAATTTTAGGAGATGGTTTTTTTGGAAACTTTCACAATTTGGAAATCTCAAGATTAGGAAGCCAATTTGGTTTTGGAAAACCCACACAAAGGTCACGGCTGCCCTAGGTTTATTTAAACCCCAAGGCCGTGATTTTTTTTTTTTTAACTCCCACAAGAACGCACAAGCTCGCAAATTCTGGTCAAGGCAGTTTGGCAATTTCGGCTAGGATCAAGACAAGAATAACAAGTTATGGACAACCAAGATAGTGCGACTAACCTTTCTCAGGCTCTCCCTCAACGGGTTACCCAAGATGTTCCCAAGAAATTTACTCCAAAACCACGAAAACCCATTACTATCGCAAGCGAGTACAAGAAGCTTTTTGCTAGAAGAGTGAAGCAAGTTCCCAAGAGTCAAAGTGCTCAAGAATTTCAAGAAGTAGTGGACCAAAACTTTTGAACTTTGTGTTTGTTTTTGTTTATAGTTCGGACCACTATGTAGTCACTTCGAATTGACTGGCAATAAAAATCTGGAAATTTTTTTTGGCTTGGCCTAACATACTTTGCTTGCTGTTTTTTTTTTTTTTTAGACTAACGAAACACAAAGGTGCGGCTGCTAGGGTTTGACTAGATGGCCGCAATTAACTTGTGTCTTGGCCGAAAAGGAAAGAAACTCAGATCTCATACACTTGCCAAATTAAGCCAAACAAATTTGGATTGCTTCCAAAACTTAAGATTATCGTGTCTCAACTTCCCAAGTACGGTGTTCTGCCCCAAAACAGTCCACAAAATTCACGAATTGCAAGGAGACAATTTGGACAGCCCACAATGGTTTCCACCCTTGGAAGCAAAACCCTAATTTCGGACAATCAGGGAGCAACAAGGTAGGCAGCCGCCTCTCTTCCTTCTTTTTCGCTCTTCCTTTTTTTTTTTTACTCAAGCAAAAACCCTAAGAAACCCTAATGACCTCACGGCTAAACCACAAGGTGTGGCAGCCCCAAGGATACGACACAACTAGCAAGAAACACGATGAAGAGACACGAACCACAACACACAAACGCAAATAAAAACGGACAGGTTACGGTGCACGCACAATGGATGACTCAACAAGGACCCCAAACTCAATTTTTTGTTTTCATGCAAGACAAGAGGAAACGAATGTGGACTGACTTGGACAGATTGTAGACGCTCTTTTGGACAGAAATTTGACTCTCAAATATGACAAAAACTTCAGTTTTGACGCAGACAGATTTGAAGAACAAATGACACTACACGATGAAGAGGAAACGACGCAAAAAAAACAGCAAAGAAACGACACCGAAAAAGACAAAACGACACAAAAGAAACAAGGACCAAGGGATGTACGTGATACCTTCAACTAGCTCTGATGCCAGCTGATACGAACGGCACAACCGTGAGATGCAACCCATACAGATAGGAAGGATCTAGAAGGTAGAGCTCACGTTGAAATGACGAAGACAGCGGATTACCTAAACCCGTTGATCACGTGGTCAACGAACCTTAGTATTTGGTAGAAGACGCCACAATCTAGCGCGGTCCTAGATTGATGAGTTGATTGAATACCTAAGAATGAATCTAAGATATTCAATGGATGCTTCAATGAAGTTTTGAGAGAACTCTCAATGTAATCTTATTAATCATCCAAAGTGAATGTAACATCCGATTTGAGGCTATTTATAGCTGTGACTAAGACCTAATAAGACTGGAAAAATAACAACAAAAATTTGACCAGCCCCTTGGGCCTTCACTTGGCCGAAACTAGCCAACCTAACTATCGACCTAATAAGACTGCGCTCCTAGGCCCCCAAGTTGGGCGCATCGCCCCCTAGACCCCCGACTGCTTGCTGACCGGGCAGCGAGACCCCCGTACAGCTCAGCATAGGGACTAACTACGTGGCCCACATGGCCTAGTCCATTGACTCAAGGACTAACAACGACGAAGGTCCAAACCACAAGCTGGTTGGACCTTTTTATTACACTCTCCTATACTAATAATGGGCCATTGGCCCTTAGCCAAATCATGGTCAGCTAATCCTCATAGATGGCTGAAAGTAGAATAACATCTCTCGCTTCGTTGAGGCCCTCAATGGCCTTTGGCTCTCCACTGGATTCTCGGGCCGCACGAACCAATGTTTGTAGTGCTTCATTTAACCTCTTCACGCAAGCTTATGTTATAGGCCCCAATGGAACCTTCACTT